TTTCCTTAAGCTCCTGGGCTCAACCAGATGATCTCCTCATAGTGCTTCTTCCACCTCTGAATTTTATTTTACTTTTTCTTTTATTTTTAAGATCCTTTTGTAGGAGAGGAGAAGCCTCGGTGGAATACTTGGCATTGGCCCTAAATTAATCTCTCTCTCTCCTTCTTCCTTCACTAGTCATTTTCCCCTTCCCTCATTCCTCCCCCAGGTCCTTGGGGGGAGATGCACAGGCATGTCCAGCACTGAGGCTCCTCTGCCTACTTCTGTGGATGGCATGAAGCCTCAGAGTGGTTTTACAGTCCGGTTTCGTCAGTCCCAGTGCTGGAGTGTGATACCACCCTGTCGTGCTCTACAGTGCCTTTCTCCTCTGTCCTCTTCCTTCTGTCCACAGTACTCAGGTTTTGGCTACCTCTTGCCCACTGGAATAGGTTCAAAGCCAGTCTTTCCAAATTTTGGCCTGTCCTCTGTAGTATAACCCTGTCCAGTTGACTCCCCTGCTCGTAACTGCTCAATGCCTCTCTTCCATGTATGAAGTGCGTTACAGGCTCTTCAACATGGCATTCAGAATTCCACAAGATCTTCCTCGAGATTCTGATTAATGCTCTCTTCAAGCAAAGTTGAACTGCCTGCCATGGCCTGCACGTTCCGTGAGCCCATCTGCATCTGTTTCTTCCATGTGGAATGTCTCACATCCTTCCAGTTGATGTTCACTGGCACTTGTAAATTTACAAATTGTCATTGCTTAGAATGAATTTGGTTTAATTAATGGTAATTAATAAATGAGTGTTTTAGGTGTCTGCCTGAGGCAATCTGACAGTTGAATTTTTACTCATAACCTTTTTCCTCAAATGGTAGTGCTATTTAAAACACTTTTGAGGGTTAAGAATGAGGGGAAAGATATTTACTTTATTCATGAGAAAATTCAGTTGTTAAAGTTACTTATTTTTTGGTGTGGAATATTCAGGTAAGCAGTGTATCTATACTGAATGTGTCGGTGGGGCATGATCGTGCACTTCCCCTGATTAAACCTAGATTTTTTTAATAGGGACGAATGAGAGTGGGCAACAACCTTAATTCACATACACCCCCCCCCCCATAATATAATATTTTCATTTCTTAAAATTCTATTTCTTTTTAAAGTCTGTTTTCTTTTTCAAGACCCCATATTCTCTTTATCAAGAAACTTTTTGTGATACCCAACGGAAGGACCCACTCTTTGGGGCTCCTGTAGTGTCCATCCCATCCACAGATATTTATTTTATTCCCCTCTTACACCCTGGCCACTATGCTGGGTGCTGGGGTTATCAACATGCATAGAAATGATGTCTGACTACAGGGTTTTCACACTCCAGTGGGGGAGGGAAACTGTTATGCAACACACCATAATACAGGTTCTCAAAATAGACTCTCTTCACCCTTTGTAAAGTACGAGTGCCGTGCCATGGAAGAGGAAATAAAAGTGAGGACTCAATGATCTGAAGGTTGAAGGGTATCTTTCCAGGGCAAGAACCGTCACCTGAGCCTTGGAGGGTGAGGTGTAGAAAGGGAGGCAACCATGGCACATTCAGGAATGGGGAGTTGCCCAACATGGCTGGAGCACTGGTTACATGGGAGAAGCAGAAGTGGTAGGTGATGAGATTGGAAGAATAGCTTGGGGCCAGGAAAGGATGAACTTAAAAATCAGGCCACGGTGTTTGGTCTTCACCCAATAGTTAACGGAAAGACAATTGAGGTATTTTAAACATCAGAGTAAAATTTGGAGACCCATATTTAAAAAAAAATAACTTTGGTGGTATGACGAGGGGTGGATTGATGGGAAAGATAAAAATTAGGTTGACTTTCTGAATGAACCCCAAAGTATCTTGTATTTCCCTTAAGACTTTTGATAGATTATTTTTGTGATTAGAGTTGCTTGTGCGTATACCTTTCCTGGTAATAATGCTTCCTGAAGTTGGACCTTCAGCGGGTTTTGAAGGACCAAAAGGGTGTGATAGCAATTACTCCTATCTGAAACGCTCAAGACTTCTGGAAAGCTTCGTTTATGGCACAAACTACTCAGTAGTTGCAGTCTTCTATTTATAATTCTTTCCAGATGCTAAAGGAGATAAGGCAATAACAAGCATTAACACAACGTTAACAATGTGTATATTTAAAATCATAATAGTCAAAGTTCAGAGGTGCAATTTTGAATTCATACCATTCTCTATGTGTTATGCCAAGCATACATATTACCTCACTTAATCCTTTCAGTAAATCGTGTTACACTCGTTTTATGGATATGCTGAGGCTCAGACAGTTTAACTTGCCAGGATCACATAGTAAGTAAGTTTTGCTCTCTCTGTAAACGTCATCTTGATCTTTTTCTGACCCTTGAGCTTGTTCCTTCGTCAGAAAAAGAAACTTGCTTTCATAGTTACTTCTCCCTGGTATGCTTTTCTCCCAGATATTCACAGAACTGACCTCTTCAGCTCTTAGCTTAAATGTTACCTCCTCAAAGAAGCTTTCATTGATCATCCTATCTAATGTTGCTCATTTCTCTACTTCACTTTCTTCATAGTATCTCATTATCTGGAACTGTTTACTTGTTTGTGTGTGTGTGTGTGTGTGTGTGTGTGAGAAAGATTGTCCCTGAGCTAACATCTGTGCCAATCTTCCTCTCTGTTATGTGGGATGCCGCCACAGTGTGACTTGATGAGCAGTGCCAGGTCCGCATCTGGGGTCCAAACCCGCAAACTCCCAGCTGCCCAGCTGAGTGCACGAAGTTAACCACTATGCCACTGCGCCAGCCCCTACTTGTTTATTTCCTGTCCCCTAAGCTAGAGTTTAAATTTCATGAGATCAAGTACTTTAAATGTCTTATAGACTTTTGACTTAATATATTCACAGCATTTTAGAACAGTTTCTGGAACGTAATACACAGTCAAAAACATTAACTCAAGGGATGGGTAAATGTAAGAATATCTGTCTCCACAGCCCGTACTTGTTCTCTGGTCGCATCCTCTCAGATGTTTTCTTTCTGCTACCTAGCACACTGTGGGGGAATTGGCTGACCACATACCCCATCAAATTGTGTATCAGGGACCCACACTGATTAACTTTTAAAAGCCAAATATTTGCTCACTAGGAAAAGAATCCCAAGATCATTGTCCTTCCCATTAGTTTAGCTTACATATAATCAAGTAATCTTGTAGTTCATATATAGTACCTAGGATGTATGATTAGTTTAGAAGTGGATGTTTCTGATAAATTATTTTTAGAATTTTACATTTTCTTATTGCGTTCACATTGGCTGATTTTTGTAGGAGAATGTTGGAATTTATATAACGTAGACTTTGTTTCTGGCTATTTTGTTCTTGTTTTTTAAAGCACCAGACATTTAAAAATGCCTGGTCTATCTAATAAATTAGTGAAGTCATATTATCTCCACACAAAATAACAGTCCTAGGAGGATAAATTCTTTCATTCTTTCCTCAAACTACATTTTTCTTTTGTGGTTTCAGATGGACCTTTTCGGAAGTGTAATTTTCCTTTGTCCTGGTGGAATCTGAGACAACTCACTTTGTCACTAGCACACTAACCTCTTCTCTTCTCACTACCCCACCGATTTAGAAGTAGATTGCTGATTAACTCCTAAGTTAGAGAAGGTGGCCGGCAAAGGAATTTTAAGTACATTTCTCGGTGTTCTGTGAAGTTACATGATCTTAGCTCAGTTAATTAACTTTGTTAAAATTGTGTAAAGGGGTTCATATGATTCTAAACTACAGAAGAAAAACAGTTTGAAAGCAACCTGCCCTTTACCTGATCCCTCCCTCCTCCAAAAACCGTGGTGTACTGCCAGTGAACAGAATAATGGTTGACGAGCAAAATTTTAAGGCATTCTAAATATCACTGTTTGGTTTAATAAAATTAATTAGCCTGCCACGGAGAAAATTTACTAGCGTGCTGGTTAATTTCACAATGTAAAGTCAGAGAAGGGAGGTGGGTTTGAAGGAACAAACCTTATTAGTTTTGAATAATTATTTAAAGATGTGGAGCTGCCTATTTCAAACACTTTGATTGCCAAATCCATTAAGGCTTTAAAAATCTCAATGTTTGTATCTCAGTATATACAGGAAAGAATTTCTCTAGATGAAATCTTAAGCGTATTAGTTAATAGCTAAATGACTTTAAGATACAGAACAAGTAGAATCCTAATAAAACCATGGGAATGAGAACTTGCCTTAAGACTGGCTCATGGGAGGTTTCCATAATCTTAATTTGCCATTGATGCAATTATTGCCTTTTCTTGTCTTTTTAATCCAAACAACATGTTTGCAGTGGCCATGGAAAGGTGCCTGAAATCACATGCCTGAATTCATTTAATTTGCCAACATTGTCTTTTTTCTTTCTCTCTTCCTGGTAATGGGCAAGAGTCAGTCCTAGTGCATTAGGTACTAAATCTCTTCAATTACCAGCCAGGGAGAAAGATTTAAAATTATGCTTCAAACCTACAGACTGATTTAGTTTTAAAGCACAAACACTTCTCCTGTGGAGCCTAAATTAAACTGCAGAAAGGACATGGAGCTTGAGGAATTAAACTAGGCAGGACCGAGGCTCAGGCCAGCAATAGGAACCATTTTGGTTTCTTTCACTGGGGCCTCCTTGGTGTAAAAAGAAAGGGAGCAGGAACACATGGAAAGAAAGTACAGCAGGATACAGTCATGCGCCACGTAACGACGTTTCTGTCCACAATGGACCGCATGTGTGATGGTGCTCCCGTAAGATTGGTACCATGTAGCCTAGGTTTGTAGTAGGCTATACCATCTAGGTTTGTGTAAGTACACTCTAGGATGTCCACACAATGATGAAATTGTCTGGTTACACATTTCTCAGAACGTATCTCCATCATTAAGCAACTCATGACTCTATTGCTTAGAAGTTAGATGTGGAGTCAATATTGGTGTGGGGAGTCTAATCAAACACTTTATTCTTTTTTCTCTTTCTTTTTGGGTGCTCGGCAGCCATTTTCAATGTGGATGACTCTGTGGTTGATCTGGAGACCCTGGCAGCCTTATATGAAAATGTGAGTATTGGGGCCAGCCCGGTGGCACAGCCGTTAAGGTTGCACGTTCTGCTTCAGCGGCCTGGGGTTCACCAGCCCAGATCCCAGGTGGGGTTCTACACACCCCTTGTCAAGCCGTGCTGTGGTAGGCGTCCCACTTAGAAAGTAGAGGAAGATGAGCATGGATGTTAGCTCAGGGCCAATCTTCCTCAGCAAAAAGAGGAGGATTGGTGGCAGATGTTAGCTCAGGACTAATCTTCCTCAGGAAAAATGAAATGTGAATATCAAAGACCTGCAGAACCAGAATTTCCATATTTTCGTATCTTTACTAATTAAAAAAAATACTAAGTTCTAACAAATGGTTATATGTGACTCTTTCCTCCTGAAAAATCACTGAGCCATTCGTGTTCTTTGACACTAAGGATTTTGACATAGCATGGAAGAGATGAGGCACAGAAACATAAGCTCGAATGAGAGCAGACATGAGAAAAGCAATAGGTTCCTAAACCCTCCTGTGGTATCTGGCTTAGTAGATCTCATCGCATACCTGCAGTGGAGGGTGGTTCAAGGTGGAGACCACTTCTGTGCCACAGAACGCAGCCTGTGGCTTGCTGTCAGAGTGAATGATGGTAAGCTACCTGCTTAATGTTGGTGTACACCAGTGTCTTCCTCTGAGGAGAGGGAATGCTAATACAGGCTTGGATGATTACCTTTAGTGCAAATGAGCTGGTGGCATTGCATGTGAGAAGTGATAGAGGATGTTGAGTATGTGTTTTAGACTTAGAGTCATTTAGTCAGTCTGAGGTTTGAGATCCAGCTCTACCATTGACTGCTGAGTGCCCTTGGGCCAGTTACTAAAACTCCTTAAGCCTATGTGATCATCAGTACAGTGGGGATTATAATGGGTTTTACCTGTTCTTTTTGTGAGTATTAAAAAATAATTCAGGGGCTGGCCCAGTGGCACAGCGGTTCAGTGTGCACGTTCCGCTTCTCAGGGGCCTGGGCACCACTTGGCATGCCATGCTGTGATAGGTGTCCCACATATAAAGTAGAGGAAGATGGGCATGGATGTTAGCTCAGGGCCAGTCTTCCTCAACAAAAAAAGAAAGAAAGAAAAAGAGGAGGATTGGCAGTAGCTAGCTCAGGCCTAATCTTCCTCAAAAAAAAGAAAAAAAGAATGCAATATATGTAGCAGCCGCAATGTATTTTGAAAATAAACAGTGCTGTACATGTATATGGTCTTTAAGTTATAGTTGTATGTGGAAATAACCAGCAGAATTGGCAAGCTCTCTTGAGAATATGACACAGGAGAGTCAGAATTGCCGTAATTGTTAACTATTCTGGTTCACTGACTCTTTTAGGATTTGAAAACATAGATTGAACCAGCTTCTCTTTACTAAAGTAATGCTATTTCCCAGGGAGCTAGCTGGAGCACTATACTATGCTGTCGTCACCGAGCTCAGAAAATGATTCACTGCAAGGGCCAGCCCTGTGGCACAACGGTTAAGTTCACATGTTCTGCTTTGGCAGCCCGGGGTTTGCTGGTTCAGATCCTGGGTGCGGACCTATGCACCAGTTATCAAGCCATGCTGTGGCAGGCTTCTCACATATAAAGTGGAGGCACAGATGTTAGCTCAGGGCCAGTCCTCCTCAGTAAAAAAGAGGAGAATTGGTAGCAGATGTGAGCTCAAGGCTAATCTTCCTCAAAAAAGAAGAAGAAGAAGAAAAAAAAAGATTCACTGTACTACTTGTGACCCCTGGGACCTTAAGTAGCTTATAGAAAATTTCCATAGAGTGATCATCCAGGCCTAGAGAGATTGCCAGTTCCCTACACATTTTTACATCCTTTATGAACATCAGGAGCTGTTTAGTGTGGCTGGGTGGGAATTTCTCACATTTCCATCAGTAAGGCTTTCATTAACAGCCAAAGGCACACAAATACCAGGCCTTCAGGAGCTAATGGTGCATTTGTTGAGGACCTAAAGGCCAATGTGATGTTGCGGAAGAAAAAGAGATTCCCAGTCAGGCCCTTTGCCAGCTTCTGGGTGTCAGCCGGTGGGATCATCTATGAAAGGCGGATATAATAATCGTTGAAGTACTTTGTAAAAGGTGAAGTGCTTTCTAGATGATGCTTGTTACCATGGGCTCAGGACTGTGCTCATGGTCGGTACTTGTTAGCTCACAGTAGAGGAAAGCTGCATACAACTGAAATCGTTGGATAGACGGAGAAAGTATGTGACTAAATGCCAAAATGAGCAGTACAGACAATGAGTTCTTGGAAAATTCAGAAAAAGAGAAGAAGGTGACTAAAAGTAAAGTCAGGGCTCTTCTGAGGATCAGGAAGCAAATGCTAAGGACAATTTGACCGTGTCTGCTTCCACAGGGAGAGACAGGGAACTCAAAGGGAGCAATCAAACGTTCTGGCTTCTGAACGCAGCTAAAGTCACTTGTTAGGACCCTTTGTATTAGCCAGGGATTCTCAAACGTTAGCATGCCTCAGAATCACCTGGAGGGCTGGCAGGGCCCCGCCCCTGGAGTTTCTGATGTCTGGGATAGGGCCAATAATTTGCATTTCTGGCTAGTGACAGATGATGCTGATGCTGCTGCTCCAGAGACCACACTTTGAGACACACTGCTGTAGACAGATTCTCACTGCTCCCTTTTTGTGTGTTTTGTTTCTATTTCAACCCAGAGAGCCCAAGAGGATGAATTGGTTAAAATAAGAAAGTATTACGAGACATCCAAAGAAGAAGAATTGAAGCTGCTGGATAAACCTGAGCAGTAAGGACGTTGAACACTTTTCTGTTAGGCCAAAGGGAGAAGTGCAGTCTCTATCTTCCTGCTTGATCATGTCTAAATTGTGCAGGGAGCGAAGTCACAGCACCCTCATTCCCGTGACCTATTGCGTGCAGCAGAAATGACCTGACTGCCGGGAAGAGCAGCCGGGAGATTTGTGCCGCTGGATGTAACATCTCAACCCCCTTCCCTACCCCTCGTGACTTCCCTTTCTTGTTCTAGCAACTTGTTAATTCCTCCTAGACTAAACATTCTGGCCAAAAGGGTAACTGAGGAAGGAAGAAGTCATTGCTCTGTTTAGGGTTCTGCTGAGGCAGTTAAAAAGATGATGTCAGAGTCACAGAATTCAAATGGATTTTTCGAAATCCAGTAAATGTAGCCTGAACGTGCCAGCTTTCTCCCAAATTTCTCCACCTGCTCTGCCCAGTTTAGATGTGACTTTCTGTTATCTTCTCTTTGCGTGTGCTTGTTCTTGTCTCCTTTCACTATCTAGAGTTGTTTGCTCCATGATTTTGGGGTGTTGTTCTTTACCCATTGGAAATCCAGAACTCAAATACGTAACTGAGTGACTCTCGTCCTTGGCTGGGCTCTTCGGGTCTGCAAACCACAGATAAGCTTCTGGGGCTCTTCAGCTCCTGAACCCCACCCAGCTTTTCATGGCCCACGACTCTGAGAATGTGGAATGGGTTCAGAGTAGAGAGAGGGCTCTTTTGCTTATTGCTACCATGAGCGCTTCATGTCCAATTCAGGCCATCCCTCTCAGCCTGGAGATGAGGTAAGGGATAAGAAACAGAGGAAACTGAGTGATCAGGTTTAGGATAACAAGTCAGCCCTAGAGACATCCAAGGTTTTATGGCTTGTACTGAAACCTCCATGCCTTGCCCTTGGGTCTTTTAGAATGGCTCACTCCTCTTGGATGCCTGAGCATTCGGGTCCAGAAAGACATCCTAAATGACAGGGCGGGAGATGTCTAGATTTACGGAGTTATTGACAAACCTTCATGATAATTTTGAGAGCCTTAGATGAATTGCTCTCACATGGAGCATAGGCCAGGAACCCTCCACCTCCAAAGTTAGTTCAGGAAGCCTTGGAGTATTGTGAAACAGTGAAAATGGGGTTCCATTGCCCTTCTGTTCCATCAGCTTGAGCCACCCTCCTTACCAAGTCCCACCCCTGACTCATCGTGTGGTCCACTCCCAAGTCATAATTAAAATATAATTAATTCCCACTAAGGTGCTAATGACTGAAAATGAAGTGACTGATAATGGGGTATTTAGGCACTGACAAGGCCATGGGGAGTACTTGAAGACTGTCTTAGTCAGCTTAGGCTGCTGTAACAAAGCACCCTAAACTGGGTGACTTATAAACAACAGATGTTTGTTTCTCACTGCGTTGGAGTCTGGAAGTCTAAGATCAGGCTATTGGTGTGGTTGGGTTCTGGGGAGAACTGGCTTCCAACTCCCAGCTTCTCTTTGTATCCTCACATGGCAGAAAGCAGAGAGAGGAAGCAAGCTCTTATGTCTCTTCTCCTAAGGGCACTAATCCCACTGGTGAGGGCTCTACCCTCGTGACCTAATTACCTCCCAAAGGCCCCACCTCCTAACACCATTGCATTGAGGGTTAGGATTTCAACATAGGAATTTTAGGAGGACACAAACATTCAATCCTTAACAGGGAAAATAGGGCATATCAAACATTTGGGCAGCACAAACTGTGCCACGTTGAGCAAAGATACTCAAAACCTAGAGCTAGCAAACTTTTCCTGTACAGGACCAGATAGTAAGTATTTTAGGCTTTGTGGGCCTTACGATCTGTTGGAACTACTCAAACCTGCTGTTGTGGTGCAAAAGCAACACTAGACAATACGTAAACAAATGGGCGTGGCTGTGCCCCTGATACAATTTTATTTATGGACACTGAAATTTGAATTTCATGTCATTTTTACATGTCATGAAACATTATCCTTTATGGATTCTTTTTTTTTCAAGCATTTAAAGACGTAAAAACCATTCTTAGTTGATGGGCCATACAAAACCAAGTGGTGGGCTGGATTTGGCATGTGGGCTATAATTTACCAGCCCTGCTCTAAGCTGTGGGAATGGCCAACCCCGCGAAAGGAACAGTGGGTTTCTGCTAACAGAAGTATTGCCCTTTTCCTTTCGTGTTAATGCCTTTCTGGCATTATTTTTCAAGATTAATTGCCAGGGCATAGAATACTGGTAGCAGGTAATTAATAGATAACTGATTATTCCTGCCTTCTCTACTGGTGATCTGGATAGAAGAGTGTTTTTAATGTTTGTAAATGGTCATTGTAATGGCTTCCTGAATGTGCTAAGCTATTGCTGACAGCAATGAGGACTGTCGTGTTGTCCCAGTGAAGAGATGTGCTTGGGCTCAGTCACTGGAGGGTGAGGTGCAGAGAGGTGGAGACTTCAGGCCTACGTGGATTTTACCCCCACTCTTGACCTCCTGCACAGGGAAGCAGTTGTTTGATTTATGCCAGAGTCAGATTTTCTGGCAACTTATTTCCCATTAGCTCCAAATGAGTTGACTATAAGCATGTTTTACATAATGGAAAATATGAATCATTTTTAGCTTCAGCATTGCAGTTTCCTAAGATCCCTGCAGTGCCAGTCCTATAAATCATAGCATGGAGAAGCCAGCCTCTTCACTCACCTCGTCAGCTTTCTTGTTCCCCAGTCCTATATTTAGAAAGCCATTTCCCAGAGAGATGTCGTCTGTTTGGGACCAGGCTCTCTGAGAGCCACTCTGGCCAGGGATGGCCCTCAACTCTGCAGTCTGCCTTGGGATGGTGGTGAGGTGAGGTGGGGCTCTATTTGGTTTGATTAGACCTGATTCTTTTTGTGGTCTAGAGTGAGGACACCATATACAGCCTATTGGGATGCTCCACTAGGGTCCACAGCTGCATTGGGATCCTCCACAAAGGAGATACATTGACTTGCTGAAACGAGGCTCTGTTAGTGTACTCCTCTATGGAAGAATACAGGTTACAACATGAAATTGTGCTGTGTACACAGCCCCTGTGTGCACACACACCTGAGAAAATACCATATGGGGGCTTAGAGGATGATAAACCAAATGTTAGTCCCGTAAAAACAATGGGCCATGGGCCGGCTCCGTGGCCGAGTGGTTAAGTTCGCGTGCTGCACTTCAGCGGCCTTGGGTTTCGCTGGTCCGAATCCTGGGCGTGGACATGGCACCACTCATCAGGCCATGCTGAGGCGGCATCCCACATGCCACAACTAGCAGGACCCACAACTAAAATATGCAACTATATACTGGGAGAATTTGAGAAGAAAAAGCAGAAAAAAAAAAAAAAGCTTGGCCACAGTTGTTAGCTCAGGTGCCAATCTTTGGGGGAAAAAAAATGGGCCATGTTGTATCCTTCCGCCTTCTAGCTGAGTGGATGTGTCACCCACACAATGTAAGGTACAGAACTTCTCTCCTAGATACTGTTGTAGTCCTTCCTGGGAATATAAGCCTGCCTTGGGAAAAGAAGGGCCAGGTCCCTGGTTTGTGGTTTCTTTGGGGGTCTTTAGTCCTCTCTATTACTGGCCCTAGGGTATCAAGTTAGACTAGTCCAAAAGGAAATCAATCTATAAATGTTTCTAAGTACCAAGGCCCGATGTCCAAGACCTGTTCTTGGGGATTTGTAAGAGAGTTAATCCTGTTGCTATGTGTAGAGTATAAAACACGGTTAGGGAGGATAAGACGTTTATCAGACATTTGCCTTACAGCCTCTGAGGGTAGTTATACTTCTAAGACTTTCCCAAATAAATGGGAAAGGAGCCATGGTGCCCTTCCTCAAGCCTTTGCATGGCTGTTTTTGGACAGAAAGTGACATAAAATCATATTTTTTCCAAATTTGCTTGTCCAGTATGTCAAATCTTCACATTCCACCAGGTGTCCAGGTGACAAACCTGCAAGTCATTCTGTACTCTTCTCAGCATCCCTCGGGATTGGTCAGTTACTCCAGTTCTTGCTGCCTTGAAAGCTTTCTCGACTCTTTGCTCCCCTCCATTCACACTGCAGGCCCTCTTACCTTCCCTCTTAGAATATTGCAGCTATGTCAAATAGGTCTCCCAGCCTCAAATCTGCTTTCACCTCCAATCCATCAGCCAAGCCACTGCCATGTGATTTTCTAAAACAAAAAGCTGAAATTATCACTTCTCTGTTTAAAATCCATCCTTCCTTCAGAGAAAGTTTAAACTCTTTATTTTAGAACAAAAAGCCCCATTTTAACATCTGACTTCTACTCAGCTCTTCCACACATATCATTCAGCCTGTCTAGGATCTCCCTGGCAGTTTCTCACCTGTGTCCTGCACAAGCACCAGAGGACTCCAGGAAACCTTGGCTGACATTGTCCATCCAGGACTCTGACTTTGATGCTCTGCATGACCTGGTTACAGGATAAATAAGAAAAACAGCTGATAATTAGAATCTTATTAAAACCCAAATCCTCCTAAAAGTAAAGTGAAAGAGGCGCAGGGTATAAGCTAAGGAAATTTCTTTGGAAATGAAAAGAAGGAGGCGCCAGCTTTGCTCCTATGTAAAAGTATTCTTGGTGAAAGGTTGCAAAATGTTAAGGTAATGATGTTATAAGTTGACCAAGACTTTCAGAAATATCAGTTAATCATCATTTCAACCCCAAAATGAATTTAATAGCTGTTAGTGGATTCTCTCCTTTTCTGAATTCATGTCCAACTCTTTCCAACTATTTTAGTTTATACCCCTTCCTCTGGTGGTTGGCATGGAGAGTACGTAGCTCTTCCAACTGAATTTTGCAAAGGGCACCAGTGCCCAAATGCTCAGACAGTGAGCTTCTGTGTGTAGGTTAGTACTCACCTTGAGCTTGTAAGCTTCTCTTGCTGTAGTTTTTAAGAAACTTGAGATTGTGTCCACTTTAATGAGTGCTTGCTTTGTTCCCAGAATAGAGCTATGAACTCTGCCTATATAGGTAAGTTGGTGTGGAAATGTAAACAAGTATCTGTAGAATAGAGTTGTTACAGACTATTATCTAATTCATCTCACTTCAGTAAGAGGCTTTATCACTCGTCTACAGACATTTGCCTCAAGTCTTCACTTTTCTCACCCTTAGACAATGCCGCATTATGAAGGGAGCTTATTGAGTATTTTCTCTCATACACTAAAGATTAACACTTTTCATTTGGGTTTAGTTTCCTGTTTGGGTAGGAGGAGATAGATAACTTGTTGTGGTTCAGTTTAATTGCGTTTACTTTCTGTTCCTGAAGTAATTTATGCTCCGGACATTTATTTACCATTATAGAAACACACAAAAGAAATGGCTTTGTTGTCAACAGAACACATACTGTTGAAGTTCCTTACATCTGCTATCTGATACCTTTTATAATTGTTAAATTGGCATTGTCAAGTAAAGAATGCTTTCATGGTGGATATTTTTCAGCTGTCTTTTTACTTTCCTTGTGATCGTGTATGAAACTAGATAACTCATTCTTAATTTTTACAGATTTTTGCATGAGTTAGCCCAGATCCCTAACTTTGCTGAACGTGCCCAGTGCATAATCTTCAGATCTGTCTTTTCTGAGGGTATCACCTCCTTGCACCGAAAGGTAGAGATCATCACACGAGCTTCTAAGGTATGTTTGCTGTCTAATTTTAAAAGATAGCTCTTCCTTTCTTGGGAGTAAAGGAGGAAGTGGGGAGCAGGAGAGATCAACTAGAGTCCCTCTGTGGAAAACCTTTTGAACTTAAGATTGTGTGATTTTCTAAGTATAGCTGGGATGATTATCCTGCCTAAGTGTTAGTATGTGTGTGCGTGCTGATGAGGCAGAGAGAAAGAGAGGGAAAAAAGGAGATGCAGACTGACAGAGAAAAGGAGGAGGAAAAAGATGACGGTTTTACAAATTTCTTCTCAAGTGTTCAGACACCTTCCAGTGTACATACCGGCCACTTGAAACCAACCTAAGTAGTATAGTTTGTTTTCTACTCGACTGTCTGGATTGCAAGGGAGATTTTGCTTTAGATCCATGCGTTCAATCATCTAAAATGTGTCTACCTAGTGAAATAAGAAGATTATAAAGACTTAACAAATGATTATGATGATGAGTGATGGGCAAGTAAATTTTTATTAGCTTTACCATGCTAGTATTTCATTATAAAGTTAAGTTCTACCACTTGGCTTTTTCTCATAATGACCCATGTCCTTAAGAACATGATAATCCTCTCCACAAATTCTGTACTATTTAGTTGCTTATCTGAAGGCATGATCTTTTTCTTTCTAAACTACACAAGATTTCAATAAAGCAAGGCTGCATATTACCAAAGTATAATATATATCCTCTAATAACACCCTAAAAAGCAGAAGCAGAAGTTGGCCTACAGCTGCATTTGGCTTTCTTTCTTTACCCTAAAATAAAGGAAAATAAAACCAACTAAGGTTGGAGAGAAAGGAAAAAAGTATCAATTTGAAAATTTGCCCTTGGTGCAAAAAAAAGGAAAAACAAATGAGATGGGGAACAGAAGAAACCTGTAAGCAGCTTAAAATTGTAAAAGTTAATAGACGGATCAGCAAACACTTAATAAACATAGCCTATGGCCTTGAAATACATTATTGTAGTTCACCTCTGAGGGTTATACCCAGGGATGAGGAAGAATAGACTTGTTATTATATCTACTCTACACTTTACTGTTTATATAGCTACATAGTCCAAAAACAGATCCTCCAATGATATCAAACCCCTTTCTACTTAGAAGTCATCAATGTGAAACCTAACTCTAATAACTCTAATTTTCCAATTTATAAATATGTTAAAATAGCTATTTAAAAAATCTAAACCTGGCTCCATGGAAATATGAATACTAATATTTAATCTTCAATATTAAAACATATAGTTTGGAAATCAGTGAAAGGCTGGGAAATGATGGCTAATATATTTTTTAAGACACCTATGGCTTAATAAAATGTATTTTCCATTTTACCAACCATTAAATCTGTTTGGTAACATGCCACCAAACAGCCTACTGGGGACTCAAATATTTGTTGTGAATGAACATAGGTACATTTAAAGTTCAGCTCCACAATAATCGGTGTTTGCCGTCGCAGGGCTTGCTGCACATGAAGAGTGTGAAGGATATTTTAGCTCTCATTCTGGCTTTTGGAAATTATATGAATGGAGGAAATAGAACTCGAGGACAAGCAGATGGATATAGCTTAGAAATCCTGCCCAAACTCAAGGACGTCAAAAGTCGGGTATTTATTTTTCGTAAAGAATGAATGATTTTCCTTCTGTACCTAAAAAAGGAAAAAGTATTCCTGGTTGTTCCATTCACCTCTGTCTTCCCCTTAACAATACATTTTTTCTTTGCTTTCTTTTGACTTTTGAATAAAAATAGGTTTTTCATGCTTGGTCTTATTTTGATGACAAAATCCCCGATATGTTTGCTCTACAGTACACAATTAGATGTTGAACTGCAATGAGAGGATAAAACAGATAGTATACAGTATTAGCCGAAGCACAAGGCTTGAGTCTGTTTGAATTCAGTGTTGGCTACTTGTCATTTACTCATTCCAGAGTAGGGCGCAATGTTGAATCACCCATGGAGCTCAGCATTCGAATTATTCTTTTGCCCACAACAATTGAGCTGGGGGTCTCCTGTCAAACTCTCTGAGCCTGATTATCATTTGGCTCCACACCCCTGCAGAGCTCCCTCTTTAGAAACAACCAGCCCATATCTAGGCGTCCCATGGGGTGCAGGGGGAGTGGAGGGAGGGGAAACACACAGGCAAATTAGAATTAGACCCATGTGAACAAGACACAAAGGCTGCCTTGTGGGAGGGCTGCTCGCCCCTGGCCTCCCAGGGTCATAAAGTGGCATGGCGTTCCTTTTAAGCTGCCCTGATTGTTTTTCACGCCATTAAGAACACACATTTTTTGAAAGGTGGGAAGGGGAGGGATGGTTTTCTGTTCTAGTCCCTGGGTCCCTTTAGCACTCCCCCCCACCCCCTGTCTTGGCTTTATGCCAGAAAATATTAAGACAGTGTTTTGTTTGTTTGTTTGCTTTAGCTGTTACCTCAGAGGGCTTATGGGTTATCTGTTTGATTCTTTTCTTCACAAAAAATAGTGTAGTCATTTCTTTGTATAGATGCCATCAAAAATGGTGGGACAAGGAGGAGAGAAGAAAATCTTACCAAACAGAATTAGGACCAGGAATCGTAAATTAGAAGTATTAGGGCCACAAGTTGAGATTTCAGCTCTTAACTCTATAATATGGCAGAGTCTCATGTGAATGATTTTCATTTAAGCTTCTCTTTTTAAACCTAGGATAACGGGATTAACCTGGTGGACTATGTCGTGAAATATTACCTGCGTTACTATGATCAGGTAAGAAATGGCATTATGTGGAAAACTACACTAATGGGGTTTCAACTCTTGCACGTTGTTGGCATTTAGAAACGGAATGATGGATGGATGGATGAATTTCAAGTCCAACATAGAATTTGAGAGCTATCCAGCCTCCTTGTTTTACAGATGGGAACACTGAAGCCAAGAGAGTTTAGTTGACTCTTGTAAAGAGAAGCATTATTCAGTGGTACAAATCTACTGCCTCTCAATCCCCTGTGTAACCCAGCTTCAGAGAGACCCCCAGTTATCTCAGTGCCTTCTGACCAGGTTGTGAGGGTCTTGTGAAATCTATATCCATTCAGTAATTGGTTATATTTGAAACTAGATTCTGGGACACAGACCAAAATTTGGGAAAGTAAGATTCAGTAATACCAAATACTTTATAAGTAATGTTCCTCTGTGAGCAAGTTGAAGATGTGGAATTTGAAATCCATCCTCTATGCTTAGATTACATTTGCAATTAGAAAGAAAAATTTCTGTGAGAATCTACCTGAGCACAATTTTCTGTGTTTTATTCCTTCTCATTACATTGAGAACAAGCATTCCTAACTTTGGGAAGAAAGAGGTACTGTTGTGAGTTGTTGAGAAATCTAGCAATCAGTATGAATGGAAAAAGTCTCAGGAAATTGTTGTCAGGACTCTTGCTCAACTACTCACGTAGGCATTTTTTCCTAGGCACCCAGCGAAGGAAAATAAAGATTCCAGGGCCTTATTTTCAAAAGGCCTGCAATCTCATCCAGAAGACAAGCCTATAGTCATCTCTCCTACCCTCCTAGGGGGATTGTTCTTGATATATCTACAATCAGGCTTATCATTCCGCTACCCCCTCCTCGGACTTCCTCTGTTTCTATAAGGATATGATAATTTTTGATCATTCAGACATGAAGCTTGTGCTTATTTTGGTTCCTCTCTGTCCTTCAATTAAACTGTTTCTCATGTTCTTCCATGTTTTTCACCCCTACTGACCTCAGTTCATTCAGGCTTTAAGAGAACTCACTTAGAGAATTTCTATTGCTCCCCACCTTGACTTACTCCCACTCTAGTCCATCCCACACCCTATGGCCCAATTACTTCTTATAGCTCTGATCATATTGCATCACTTTTTTACTCAAAGCTAGAAATGTCTCCCCATACTCAAGCAAATTAAGATTCTATCCAATTTAATTCCAGTCTTTTACAACCATCCTGTTATTACTTTCCCTCTACATGTGTTCTGTGATCCAACTCAAGACCTGATGTTTTCCAAACACACCCTGTGCTTTCTTACTGAGGTGTTTTTACCTCTGATGTTCTCCCTAACTGGAACTATCCTTATCACCAGCCTTTTTATAAAACTTATCTTTTGTCTTATTAATACTCTCTTGAAATAATAATTAAAAGACCTTTCAGGAAAAAGCTCCCAGTAACAATATATGTATTTGCAACATATAATAGGTAATGAGCTCTTCAGCATTAACAAGAAAAGGACAACTTGTCCCTTCTCATAAAAAAAAAAAAAAGGCAAGAGAGGCTGTAGGTAATTTACAAAAGACAAGTCGAAGATATAAATTGCCAACTAGATATATAAAATCAGCAATATAAATTGATCAAACCTTTCTCAGGATTATCATGTATAGTTTATACTGAGTTATTCTCTGTTTAAGATCTCCAGGTTGAAGGGGATCCATAGCTAGTCTGCCCTTGACTCACCAAACTATATGTCCTAAAAAGGGCACCTTTAAAAAAATTCCCATGAAGATGTCATGTTCGTCAAGCTGTTTGCCCATGGAGCTGTGCCTACCTACAAGGGACACCTTTTCCTAATTCATGCAAATATACTACATGGAGCTAACAAGGCTTTGTCCTTTCTGTAGCAAAACTCTAGAAATATGTATAATCTTTCTAGGAATTTTTATCCTAAGGAAATAAATAAAAACATGTATCATTATTCTATTATAATAATTTGTAATAGCAAAATATTGCAAAATTTTTGGTAGATGTCCAGAGGTAGAGACTAAGGTCAAATAAATTATGCTAGAGTCATAAAATGGAGACTACACTGCCATGGAAAGTATATAGGAGAAAATTTAGTGGCATTAGCAAATGCTCTTGATCTGCTTTTAAATTACAAATGTGTTAAAAAATATGTAATGTAATTTCAAATATGTAAATATAAATAAACACAAACACAGAAAAACCTGGAAGCATATATATTAAAATATTTGATTATTTCTGGATGGTAGGATTATAAGAGATTTTTACTTTCTTCTTTCTTTGAGTTACTAAACATAATGAACATGTGTCAGTTTTGTAAAAGGGGAAAAAAGATATAATGAAAAATAGTGCAATCTTACATTTGCCCTTCTTCCATGATGTCTTTGCTCTCTTCCTCATCTTTTACTCCATTGAAGCCCAGAAACACTCTTTGAACCTCTCTCATGATGCATCTTATTCTACCTTATATAGAGGTATCAATGAGCAATTACCTATCATCCTGGCATTGCTCTTTGAGGTCCAGAACTCATTGTTGTCTCTTTTTTAGTGTCTGTAGTGTAGATGCCTGAGAAATACTTGCTGAATTGAATATACTGTAAATATCCACAAGAATGTAATAAGTGGCAGCTGTAAAGAACTAGGCGTGAGGAAGTGAGAGCTGTTTTCTGGAAGAATGGGGCACACATGTTGAGCTTCAGGCAATATGCACATACCTGAACTTCTGACAGCAGGTACCAGTGTGGCAGAAGAATTACCCTGAAGAATCCTGAGAGGCGATGCTTCTGATCCAAGGTTGGCAAGAGCAGTTTTATCTTGTAGTGTCTGCCTCACCCAAGTCAGAGGCATCGTGTAGGAAGGCTGAAATCTGCCTGTGATATATGGCTCTCACTGAAGAGAGCTGAACCCAGTTGAGTTGACTTCACAGAGGACAAATCTCACAATAAGAATAACTTCAAACATGGGATGGCCCGCTTTAGGAAGAATAAGAAGTCAACATTAGTGTGGTGCTCTCCCAGTTTTCAGTGTGCAAAATGCATTTCACTCAACGAGAGTGTGGAATTCTGTGATTTATTAAATTATCCCCTCCCTCCAGGAGCATAAGTGATGATTTTTGTGGTTAGTGGGGATGAGCAATTAGCTGAAGGAAGGTGACTCCTGCTCCAACCTCCTTCCACTCCTGCCTGGTTGACGGTCCAAGTCTAGGTCTGAGCAATTTAAAAGAACCCGTCTAGAGCCCTGTCTTTTGAACTCTAATTGAGCAACTTTCCCAAGAGCTACTATCAGGCTGATTTGCTCAGCAGCTTTTTCTAGCTAAAAAAACAAAAAACCTCGAAGCCAGGCAGGACTGAATCTGATAAAATGTTTTGGAAAATAGAAAGAGATTTTATGCGTGAGTTCTCCAGTGTCAATTACCGTGGAGTTTTGTGGCAAGCATCTCAGATGTTGTTCCATCCTGGCACTCAGACTAGGGTACTGCTTCCATTGTTTTTAAGGTACTAGTATAGGAAGATGGAAAAAAGTACGTCGATGACATAAAATGTTGTTCTGATCAAATGAGGAAAACCACCTTCTTCCAGCATTCCAAGTGAATCTAAAGGTCTTAAAGGAAGGGGAGGGTCCAGAGAATTCCTGAAACCACAAAAAATTTGACAAGCTAGATGTCCCCTGCTAAAGATACAAACTTCTCAGAACAGTGTTTTATAGGCTCCCTATAATGGTGCCAAACAAAGTGTATTGATATGCCAGATGTTGTGTATTGTACCGAGAACAGGACACAGTTCCTCCCTTCGAAGTGTTTCTAGTCTAGTGGGGAAGGCATACAAGCTAATGTGGCGATTTTTAAATTCATGTTGATAAGTGCTGTGATAATGGTAGGTACCAGGGGCTCTTGGAAACACCAAGTGCGGGGGCTCAGTGGAAATCTTAGAGACTTGTTTTGAGACTTGAAGGATAAGTATGAACAAGGCAGTGTGAGGAGGTTCTGGGGAAATATTGGAAAGGGACAGTTTTATAGACAAAAGCCTAGAGGCAAGAGATTGTGGCCCGTTCTATTAATTTATGAGAGTTTAGGGGAGGGAGTTAGAGATAGTGAGAAGGTAGAAATAAGGCTGGAGATGTAGACAGAGGCCAGATCATAAAGTGCCTTGTAAAGCAGTTTTAGAATTTGGAATTTGTCCTAATGGCAGTAGGAAAGATGGAATGTGGGGGAAAACTGGCCAAGTAGCCTATGTGGAGAGAGGAATAACTGAAGACTGCCTGAGAGAGGCGAGATTCAAAGCTGATATTAAACAACTCAGGGAGAAAGTGAGCTAGACTGGAGAAGATACTTGAGGCTCAGCTTATTTCTCAATGTACAATGAAGGCTTTGTCCCTCGAGATGTTTCTCAGCTTAGATCCTCTATTGGGTTTAGCTGTGGGGCTTGTCAAAAACTATACCCAACCATGCCCTCAGTAAATATCTGTTAAGTTAAGTCAAACAACATTTGGAAAATTTTTACAAGTATGTGAAGAATGAGGTCACACACACGCGCACACACGAGCTTGAAGTTGCACAGCAAGGTGGGTAAAGGCATAAAGGAGAGTGATTGTTTCTTCAATTGCAGTGCTGCCTTATCCAGCACCTTCTAATTCACACCCACTGGCATACCCCAAAGATGAGTTATCTAATTGCTACCATGTGAAACTCAAGCAGGGCCTTTAACTACTTGCATGTTTTTCTCCTGTGCCTTTTTTGCATGAGAGTAGAGTGTCCAAGATCAGGACATACCTGATAATTTTCTCTTTGATTCATGAGGCAAAGTTGAACCTAGCCCATGCCAAAGCCATAGCCAACCTCAAAGCCAATAAGACCAAAGTGATATTGTGAATGACACAAAAGGTTTTCAAAGTAACCAGTCCCAATTCAGGCATAGCAGAGGAGCATTGCTGATTCTTATTCGAACAGAAGATGCTTTGGAATTTCAACTGCAAGTGACAGTTGGGAAGTGTAATGTTCTTTTGTTTACCATGTGTTTTAGGAAGCAGGAACAGAAAAGAGTGTTTTCCCCCTGCCCGAACCACAAGATTTCTTTCTGGCCTCCCAAGTCAAGTTTGAAGACCTCATAAAAGATTTGAGAAAACTGAAGAGGCAACTAGAAGGTAACAGGAACTGTTCTAATATTAGGATAATGGTTAAGATATTTTTAATGGTTTAAGAGTATTATTTATGTCTGGCTCACGGAATGGAGTTGGTGCAGAGTTCAGTTATGGTACACGACAGCCCTCATGAATCTTTCGACCTCCATACACTGTTTGGGGACACTGTACTTACATATCCCTCTCTTATTCGTGTCAATCATTTGTTCTATCTGTACTTATATCTACATTTTCCAACTTTTAATAGATATAACTTTAATAATAATAATTGCAGCAACACTTTATTGAGTGCCTACTGTTGTCTCATATAATTCTTAGAACAATCCTAATAAGCAGGAACTATAGTAACTCCATTTTACAGTTGAGAAAAATGAGGCTTAGAGAAGTTACCTTCACACAGCCATTAAGAGGCAGATTTACTGAGCTTATCAGGTGTATCCAATTAGAACTCATGCATTTGCTAAGCTAGTTTGCTTTGCTTATATATACATATTATACACAAGCACCCCTTATATATTTGGTTTATGTCTATGAGTCTAATGATGGCAAGACCCAAGGTAAACATTCTATTTTAGTTTAATTTACATTTTTAATTAATTCAAAACAAAATGCTGAAAGCCCTTTTTGGCTTTTTTAAAAGGTGAAAATATGTCTCTCTTGTGCAAGAATTTTCCTTTGGCGTTTCTAGAGTCTTGTGTTTTCACTGTGGAGACATCTCCTTGTCCAAGAATATAAATACTTGCCTTGGAGCTTGTATAACTCCAATTGAAGAGCTCTACAGAGGATTTAGGGAGTGTGTTAATGTGGAAATGGAGCCCGGAGTGCCAAAAGGAGAGCTTGAGGAAATGAAGAGCCTGCACCAGGAATATTTTTACACTAAGACATAAAATAAACATTTTAAAAATGTTTATTGTGAAAGAGTGCTCAGAAACCCAAGTGTTAGACAGAGAACAGCTTGGAAATGGAAGTAAAGTGGGAAAGATCAGCTCCTGGTGGCAGGGAGAGCCATGGATTTTGACTTTGGGCATAAAACTTGCTTAAATAAGGATAGTGGTTACAAGTGAATATTTTTACCTTGTAAATTATTTTTAAAGGAACGTGTGGATTTTTTTTTTCTCCTGTTGATGTGGTTGAAAGCATGAATTCTACCAAATGGATGCTTCATTCAGGAATGTGATCTGTGAACTTGTGGTCGTTCCTTTCCCTCGCCTAAAACACTGGCAGTTTTATCCATATCTACAATGAGGAGCTTGATTCTTATTGGAATGAAGCAGAGTAAGCCATCACCTAGCAGTTTTTTCTGTCCCTCTCTAAAGGCAGAATTAGGATCCAGGCCAGTCCTCAGGATGGCTGCAAGATTAGCAGTGGCAGAGAAGACCTGAGCTTCTTTACTCCCTGGCCATTCCTGAATGCCCATCCCCTCTTCTCTCTTGGCTCATTGGTTGTAAAAACCCTTGGTCTGTCCTCTCATGTAGACTTTTGAGCAGAAACCTAATCTATGTTTGGTCTTTCTTCATCTGCTTTCCTTCCAGAGGCTGCCTCTTTCAGGCATCCTGGCTCGGCCACCTCCCTTTGACATCCCCGTGTTTGATGATGAATAACAAAAACATAAGAGCAAAATTAGTAGAACAGTGGAGAGGCAGGGGTTCCCCCAGAGGTCCCACTTTGGCACACCTTATTTTCTCTAGGGAGATCCCAGGTGTAGTTCCGGATCTCTCAGTACTCAATTGACAGTTTCCTTAGTCAATTTTAAGGAAATACAACAACTTCTGAAGCTAGAGGAGCTGTCTTATAAATGAAAACTGAACATTGCCCCAGTTAATTTTCCTCTTTGTATTGAACTTCACCAAAGACATCAAGTCTCAAAAAGGCAAATGAGGAAGCTGCGACTCCCCCACACATTGAATATTTAAACAAAAATGCCCTGCTAATCTTTAGAGATGCCAGTGTTTTCAACACATGAAAGGTACCTAGTAAATATTTAAAGAAAATACTGACCGTTGGTTCTCTAATGAATTTCTTTTTCTTCTAAATACCATCTGGCGAGATGGCCAGAGTCGTGGCGGTCCGTTTCATCTCACACTCCCATTCAGATTTCACCTCCTTTTCCGTAAGGCCTTGGTGTGAGCCTAGATTGAATGTTTAATTGAAGAGGACATAATTTTCACACATACAGCAAAGATTTGATGAGGCTTTGAGGTTTATTGTAGCCATTAAAATGTCGTGGCTGCTGGCAAAACCCCAGAAAATGTCTAAAGCTAAACCAGATGTGATTAGCAAATTTCAAGGAGCCGCAGGCCCCGGTTCTCCGAGCAGGCACAGCGCTTGAGAAGAAAATTGTTTTGAGTAGAGTGAACCACACCTTAACAATAGGATGTGAATTAAACTGTGGTTGTACAAATATCACTGATCAAGTAGCTGTTGTCAATAAGTATCTTTGATAGAGACGAGAACTTTGAATGGCACTTTTGTGCAGGTAAACATAGCAAGGAATTGATGATAGTATCAACTATAAAATTTACTGTGTGATGATTATCTACTAGATGCTTTACAGATATCATCTCTCTCAATTCTTACAATGACCCTGTGAAGCAGATATTATTATCGATCTTTTGCAGAAGGGTAAGCGGAAGTTCATGGTGCTGAAGTAACTTGCCAAGCACAGGTGTTGACTTAGCCACGTTTTGAAACTAGGTATCACTCTAAGGCATGTATTCATGACATACCCTGCCTCTGGCCCAGAAATCTCCATATCTGATCAGAGATGAGAACAGGAAGACAGGTATTCAAGGCAGAAATCCTCATGAAGATATGAACAATAGAGAGTTACTAAACATGTGTGTATCAGTGCAAGCACACGTGAGTATGCACACACATACTCCTAGAACCACATATATAGACCCTCAGACCAGATAGAGATAGGAAAGAACTTATTTGGGTTGGGGCTAGGGAAGGGGAAAACGTACAGGAGACAGTATTGCATAGGATTAAGAACTTGGGCTTTGGAATCAGATATGTACTTTTACTGGTTGGATGAAAGCGAGATCTTGTCAAGTCACATAACCATAAAAAGGACTTTATTTGCTCACCTGTAAAATGGGACAATCCTATTACCTATGTCGTAGGAGGTAATGAATGCACGATTCCTTAGTAAGGAAAGCTTCAATAAAGCTGATTAGGGATGTGTACATTTTACTGGAAAGTGCACAACTTGTAGAATCATGCCCATGCTGTTGAGGGGCCAGCTGGGTGTGTATGTGGACAATCTAATTCCCAGAGCACTGGTGCTCTCTTCTCTACATTGTGAAGACAGAATCCAGTTCTTGGTGCTTGGGAACATGTTCCATATTTTGTTTACTGTTCTGTACTTCAATCACATAGTAATTTTGATTTCCCTGTTACTATGATGTTCTAAGTAAGGGACAAAACAAAGAATAGAAATAGTTGCTCAACCTTATATTCCTCGACCTTGTTTGCTGGTCAGAGCTCTCAAGGTACTCTTACCAACCCATGCGTGGTAGGCAGAATAATGGCTCCAATGAGGTCCAAACCCTAACCCCTAGACTCCGTGAATTCATAATTTTATATGGCAAAAAGGGACTTTGCTGATGCTGAGATGGAGAAATTATCTTAGATTATCCAAGTGGGCCTAATCTAATCACATCTTTAAAAGCTGAGAACTTTCATTGTCTGTGGTCAGCGGGAAATAGTGCAGTAGAATGATCAGAAAGATGCAATGTTGCTGGCTTTGAAGATGGAGGAGGTGGGCAGTGAACCAAGGAATGTGGGAAGTCTCTAAAAGTGGAAAAGGCAAGCGGCAGATTCTCCTAGAGCCTCCAGAAGGGGATGCAGCCCTGTCCACACCTTGATTTCAGCCCAGTGAGGTCCAAGTCAGACTCCTAACACACGGAACTAGAGAGTAATGTATTTGTGTCATTTTAAGCCACTTAAGCCTGCAGTAATTTGTTATAGTAGCAATAGGAAACAAACACACCAAGCAGTGTAAGCTTTATGATTGTGCCAGTTAATACCAGTCACACATGTACATGCACACACCATCACTGAGGCCATAGATGTAGCATTTCCCAAGTAGTGGCACTTAACCGTATTGCATGAAGTGTGAATTTGTGCTCTCTAAAAGAGTCTAGAGTCTAGTAAACCTGCAAATGCTCTGTACTAAAGTCATATCATAGAGATTCACAGTGCACATGAGCTTATTAAAGGCTCTGGGAAGTCCTGCAATAAAACAAAACAAAACAAAATGGTGTTTAACCCTATTTAAAGCAGGATTTCTCCAAACATAAAACATTTTTTTTCTCTCACTGAATCCTTAGTAATATGTTGCAGAACACGCATTCTGTGAAATGCAGTTTAAGAAGAAGGGATGTTATTACCATCAAATTTTTAATATAAAGAACACAGCTGTTGGTTAAATGATCGTTAGTAGGTGATATTCATAGGAGGAGCTGAGACGAACAGTGATGGCCTCTGTTCTTCAGTATGGCTTTTAATACTCCCTGATGGCACTTTCCTTCCTGAGTTTGTTATCCATGTAAACTAACAGAGTGGGTCAAATCCTCTCTGATGTCTTGATGCCTGAAAATCCAAAACAAATGACATTAGTATTATTCAAAATTACTCTAATGTCACCTCCTCTAAATCCACATTTGTTTGACATGATCCTGTGATAGTATTTTATCATGAAAAATTCATTCAAGCTGTGAAATTAAGAAAACTAATTTTTTTTGTCAGAAAATGAGATAGGAACTCTTCAGATAGGTGTTGAGAAGTCAGCATATTCTGAAAAGTTTCAGAGTAAAAATAATTTGCCCTTATTAGCTAACAGTAGTAATTTAGTATCCCCTATCATTAAGGGTGGGCTGTTTAATCATCTATTTATGTACCAAATCTTGCCTTGAAAAGGGTGCCTTATTAGCCTAGCCCTGTTATTGTGTATATAAATTGGGAAAACGTAATTATTAATTAACCCTCAGTGTAAGATA